AGTTATTTAAATTTTAAAATTAAAAATAAAACTTTATTAAAAAAATTGAATTTTAATAGTGTATATACATTTTTTTTTTTATTTATAATTTCTATAATTGATGCTCTAATTATACAATCTACATAAAACTATATACAGTCATACCTCTCCAAGTGCACGCACTTGGGACTATACATTAATAATATGCATATAGAGAATAATAAGAAAAATGCATTTATGAAGGTCAAGTATATATTTGGCTAGTACTTGAACGTGCATTTAAAAAGTGTGCGCACTTAGAGAGGTCTAACTGTATTTGATTCCAAATATATCTTTCAAATATTATATTCTCTGAGTGCAAGGTACACATTTTTACAAGTCGGATTTAAAAGAAGTTGTTGAAAATTTTAGTGTTTATAATTAATAATCTAAAGTGGACATGTACATTGTAGTAGATTAAAAATGAAACGAAAGGCTATTTTTGAAAGCATGATTCTTCTCAAGTTTATTGTTTTTCTTGATTAAAGCCAAAAAGCAAGAAAGTATTTGTATAGCTAAACCGTTGCACCTAGTCTTGTGAATGCGATTTCCTTTTAGAGAACCCCTAAAAATGATGTATGACAAGGGCTTACTGTTGCAATTTACTATAAAAAATGTGTTTATCATATGAGTGTCGATTACTCAAATTTCATAATAAAAAATTTACCTACCTGATCTGTGTAACAAATTGTGCACCTGTTATATCAATTTTTATTATGCCGAAAAAATTACCGGCCGAAAAATTTTTTAGCAAGTTTTTTTAGAAATAATGAAAATAGCTATAATAGTGATAGAAATATTAATCAATCCTTTTGGGTCGGATCCTAACCGGTCTGGTCCAATCTTTCAAGAATTAGTAGAAATTCGATTCTTAAATCACATGAAAACATAATACATTTATGTAGGATTTAGATCCTGGATTTAACAATGCAGAATTAATTCAGGATCTTCGTTCATTTATGTTAACAATAAAGTATCAATATAATTGAAGGTATTGTTTTTATCAATTTTATTGGATGGGCTTATTCAAATAATTACGATTTAGAATCCAATTCTGGGATCAATCAACTAATAGTTTTTTGTATCAAGTTCAGAACTATTGTTTCAGGTCCTAGGACCGGACCGGACCGGATTCGCAATTTAGCTTCCTTATACAGTGGTAAAGCCATGGTAATAGTAAAGTACAAATTACCTTATCCAGTCAACGTACTGAATTGATCGTGGTTCTAGTAAAAATAAAAAAGTGTATTAGTAATTGATAGTAGAAGATCAAAGGCCCCAGATCACCAAAGATAATGTACCTTGTTGTAGGTTAAACAAACTTTTAGATCTTGAGATGACTAACCTGCTGTATTTTATCAAATATTATTATTTTACTTAGCATTGTTGACCTTATTTCTCAGACCATATAGTAATACTAGCAAATTTAAATATATTAAGTCGTTTATTATATTATTTTGAGCTCTATTAACTGCGTAGACAATATAAATTTATAAATTATGGCCTAGAAAAATAATCCAATTTGTTAAACGTGGTCTTAATAAATTTACAATAGTATTTAGTATAAACTTGAAAAAGCTAGCATACAGTGAATGTTTGTTTCTCCAAGGTGATGAAGGTGGTTTGAGAAATAAGAGCCACAAATAGTCTTGCACATACCTTGAGAAACATGTACGTATCTAGTTCATAGGATGACATTCATATGATTGGTTAATTTTTGTAGATCTATCCGTGAATTAGCCAATCAAAATACATAGTTTTTAAAAAGATTTATTATTTTAATACTACTAGAAAATGAAAAGAACCTCACATAAAGAAGCTTACAAACTAATAAATGCATATAAAAAAAAGCTTTTATTACATTTTAAAAATAGATAACGTGTAAATTGTATTAATTACTAATAAACCCAAACTTCAAATCGATTAAAATTTCAATATCTAAATAAATTATTAACGAAGTTATCTTTTATTCTACTGTATATTTTGAAAAGTAATTCTAAGTTATTTTTAGTTATTACAACCTTTATTAAAAATGCGACATAACCTTTAGCTCATACAATTAATAAAACAATAATCACTTATAACACTTATATATATTATCAACCTGTTACTTAATCCAAAGTTATATTTATTACTCTATAGTATAGTTCTATAAACATAAAATATACTGTAAACATTAGTACAAGCCTATTATTATTATAATATATATTACATTAAACAGTACACTCAAGTTTTAAGTTTAAAGCTTATATGTAATATCTCAATCTTCTTTTTTTATTGATTGTTTTTGGTATTTAAAACTTATATATAGTTAATATAGCCAGTATAGTAAAAATATTCGCTTCTAAGTGAAGTTCTTGGAAAGGTGGATTATTTTGGATTAATTTTAACAGTGAATATCTACGTTTGTTTAGAGCTAAAATTTGCTTTACAATGATTTTTTTGTTAGTGAAACATTATATTTCTAAAAAGTACTTTAAAGTGTATAAATAAGTTATCTGGGCAATTGATTATATTAGCCAATCAGATGAAAGTCATCCTATAAAACCTAGAGTCAGAATTATTAAAATTTACTTGTATATATTACGATCTCGTGAACATATAGCTAATAAGTTATATACCAATAACACCCAAATAAAAAGAACTTAACTAATTCGGCTGAATAAAATCAGTTTTTTTGGTTGTTCCAGAGTTAATAAAAACAGCTATAAATCATAATTTTTTATAAAGTAATTGTCAGATAGTAAAAGCATAGAGCATCCAATGTCCATATGTCCTCAAATTATGAGATTTGATTGGCTAGATTAGGTATAACATAAAATAATCAAAACAATATAATTGGAAGATCTTGTTTTGATAACTCTCAAATATCACTTAAAAGCGACTGCTATAAACATATGAGATAATTTGTTTACACTTCATGGCTATGGCTAACATTACAAGGTGGGTTTGCGAGTTGCAAAAATAACATTTGGGCACAACTAAAGTTGCTGGTGAAATTAATTTCACCAATTTCACCAACTTATCACCAATTTCACCAACTCATTACCAATTTCACCAACTCATCACCAATTTCACCAACTCACCACCAATTTCACCGATTTCACCAACTTACCACCAATTTCACCAATTTTACCAACTCACTACCAATTCACTACCAATTTCACCAACAATGGTGAAATTATTTCACCAGCATCTATAAGCACAATATATTCATTTGAAGGTTTTTATTGAAAGTCTATTGATTCCAAAGGAGTAATTGATTATATATCTTCCTTCAAAAAAACTTTCTAATAAACAAATTCTTTTGGCTATTACAGATGCATTACAGTGTAATAATATCATTATTTTTTCTGTGGTTTGTGCTGTATATTCTATGTGTAATAAAATATCTGGATTTTATTCATGGTTTTGTCATGTGCATTCTGTGTGTAATAAAATATTTGGATATTATCCATGGTTTGTCATATGCATTTCTGTGGTTAACATTTAGTTATTACATGTAGTCTTGCTATGTGCATTTCTGTGGTTCTATTTGGTTATTACATGTGGTCTTGCCGTGTGCATTCTGTAGAATAATTTCTGATTAGTTATATGTAGTTATGTTACTACTGTAATACCTACCTATTTCATTATCATTGATATTATTGCATTGCATGATATTATTGCATTATTGATGACATCCATTTCTTTTTTTTTAATGCAGATGACAAGTTTTAATAGGAAAAGCCGAAGAAGGTAAACTTAATATAGGCTCTTTTTTTTTTTTTTGAAAAAAAACCAACCTTAACTTTGTTAGTAAAAAATTAGAAATAAAAGGTGAAGCAGGTTGGTTTGGCTCTTGGTTAACAAGTATTCAAAAACAAAATACTGATTCTGTTATAAGAAAAATTATATTTAGTGAATGGAATTTCAAGAGTATGCTGGAAATGATTTATGTTAACGTATTGAAAAAGTTATATTCATATAATGCAAAAAAAGCAAAACAACTACTTGGATCGAGACGAGTATATATTTATTTTAAATGATTACATATTTTAAAATAATTATTCTGAAATGTATTATTCTAAAATATAATTTTTTTTTTTTGTTGGTTTTTTTTTTTTTTTTTTTGCAGGATCTATGGTTGTAAAAGTCAACAATGCAATTTCTTTCTTGGTTAAATTCCCAAAGAAATGATCAAGTTCCTAAAAATAGAACCAATTATTCTCTTCAAAGATCCAATGATAAAATAATTATTAATGACAATGGGGTGCTTATACATTTTTGCTCTGTGCATCTTTTAGTTGGCTGATTAAATCGAATATTTTATTTTATTAATTTTTTAAATTTTAGGAAACATTGTCTGTACTTTCCTTATTAATTATGCAAACTATTATTAAAACTCCACAAAGTTTATATGATATTTCTTACAAAATTGATTAGATACCGTGGAAGTTCAATGTAATTATCAATGATATAGACATAGAAAACATACTTCTGGACTTGCATAGAAGATATTAGAAGGCCAAACCAAAAATCAAGATGTCGCTTGACTGTGGTATCATAGATCTAAATTATGGTGTGATTTTAAAGGCTTTAGAACAACCTGTGAGGCTGCATTTTGAAGAAAGGTTCCAAAAATACAAACCAAAAAAAGTTTTATCTAAAAATATTGCAAAAACATTAAAAACATTTAATGTCACAGATCATAATGAAATCAAATTAAAATGAAATTTTTCTATTTTTTTAGAAAAATTTAAAATTTTTTAAAGGATATTTTTTAGGGTTAGGGTTAGTGTTAGGGTTAGGGTTTAGAGTTAGTTTTATTAATAAAAAAGTATAAGTGGGTTTTGTGAATAGTTTTCTATTGTTTCAAGATAGGTCAAAACTAAATCTTGATAGTTCCGATTTACAAGAAGGTTGGTATAACAGCCACATTGTGGCTCCAATCTTCAACGATTGCCTCAAATCTATGGATAAGTGTATGCTCTGATGGTATTTTAAAGAATTTGCTTATGATACAGATATAATACAGCTACTTTATTACGAACCAAGTGATTAATGCATTTATAATTTGTGATAAGAGATGAAGTAGAAAGTTTTGCTTAGAAATTTCTTGATAGAAAATCCTGAAAAGAAAAAAATATAATAAAATTTTATCATTTAGCTGTCAGTTTGAATTCATTTACATAGAGGTTGCCACAACTTCTATACATTCAAAAGCAGACAGAGATCTATCAAAGTTACATAACGCTATTGTGCTTATGTTTAAATTGATAGTTTCTACTTTACCAGATAAGCTTATACACGAAATATTGGCATTGCCAGTTCTCTGTGTGCAGTTCAGTAGTAAGGTTGTCTTTGTTTTTTTTTAATTTAAACATTTAATTGCTTTTATATATTGCATTATAGAAATAAGTATTGAAGTTTATTTAGCCAATTGGCAAAAAACCTCTGTCTAATTGTTTTTTCAATTATGGACTTCAAGATACCGGAAGAAATAGTATCGTTACCCAAATTGACAAAGATCACTACAAAAATGCTGTCATTACGGGTAATTATATTCATAATGTATTGTATCTTCTATTACTGTATTAATAGTTAATTTTTATTGTAGCCGTTTATTTAAGAATTACATGAAAAGTACCAAAAATAGTTAAAGAAGATGGCAGACTATTATTTGGATGAAGGAAATGACTAGACATCGCTATTAAGGCTGAAGCCTCTTCATTAAATAGTTGTTATTAAATATTTAGTTGACACATAAAGTAGCAAAATGTTCGCAGTTTCTTTTTAAAAGATTTACTATATATAGTGATAGCTTAATTGCAATTTTCAATAGAATAAATAAAGTGTACAAATATGTATATTAATGTCTCAATATTAATCATATTTTTATTTACCAACTAAATTTATAGTATATATCGATATATTGATTTATTCTCTTTATAATCACTATCACATATGTACTAAATTAATGTGAATAAAATGAACTTTAAATGGTAATCTGATTTTAAATGCTCAAATTATCATACACGAACACATATTTAGGCTGCAATTGAATCAAATCGGCAATTATACTAGCGGGTGATCCTACAGACTGATCACCCGAGTGGTTATAATTCATCTGGCGCTATTTCTAAGAGCACCTTGATGAATTCATTGATATCTAATTTTAGCACCATGTTGGAAACTTCATTGCCATGGACTACCAAGGTAATTATCTCAGTTTATTTCATAATATTGTTTATATATAAATGCTTAAACATTTTTTTTTGGCAAAATATCAAAGTTGCACATAATAATGCTATGAATTTATTATATTTCTTTCCTCTATTTTTGTATTGATTCAAAAATTTAAAAAGGATATCGGGTTTAATGGTATTCTATAAATTAAACAGATTTTCAGAATATTCAAAATATGCGATCTGATATTTATTTGAATTAAATATTATATAGCTATTTCTAGTGTTCTTAATAATCTAAATGCAAAAGTTTCAAACAAAACTAAACTTTTAAAGAATAATATCCCTTCTGTACCCCATACTATTATAAGAAAAGTGAAGCCAACCAATTTCAAAAGTTATATTAGGCAAATTTATCCAGTATTTGAAAGATATATTCATAACAAAGATAATTAAAAGCCTTTGGCTACAAGTATCTTAGAAGCATATTCTGTCTTAGTTTATATATAAATTGCACTAATTGTGTGCTTATTCTTAATAAAAATTCATTTAATAACATTTAATATCTGGCTCCATTTGCTGGATGCATCCAAATAGTAATATATATCACATGTGTACAATACTTTTATATTACAATTTCTTTGCATTAATTTAATAGAATATACAGTATCAAACATATTGTCTAGAAATAAACTAATGCTCCTTATTAATTAATAAAGTATTTAATAATTATTTACCATTTCTTATTTACATTTATTCAGGCTACAAGTTAATAATCATTGTCAGAATCGAATACTAAAATAAGCTATTTGATTCTCATTAAATTAGTTCATAATAATAATAATAACTTTTAGAGATCAACTAAAATAAGCAGTGTCCTGATCTGAGTATCATCGGTTGAATTCATAATGTATAGCATCAGCCAATAGCTTCCCACACAGTATAAAACAGGCCAATAAAAATATACTTTAGTAAGAAAGATACAATCAAAAGATTTATTACAGTATTAAATAAATTTTCTAAAATCATCAACTTCTATGAGGAGATCCCCAAAATTCTGGGATGGAAGCCCAAGATCACTAAGAATTTTACTAATGAAACAATAGTCGTTCATTAAGTGAAAAGTGCCTAGCTGATAATTTTGCTATAGTTTATAGCTCTCGCTAACCCTAACCCAGCACTAACCTGACCCTAACCATGACGCATTTCGGCCATTATGACCTGAAAATTTGGAAATCCTCTTGTAGAAATAAAAAATAAAATCATCTGATCGGAGAGCATTGCTAAATAAGGGGAATGGCTAAAGCCAAGTGTGTTTATATATTTTTGATTATTTAATTAAAATTAGAGTAAGAGTTAGTTAGAGGTTTGGGTTGGGGAAGTTCTTATAAGTAAAATTGTCTTTCCAACATTTTTTATTAGTGCTTCAAGACAGGTTTAGATACTCGTTTCTTGTATTTTCGACGTTTTTCACTTTTGTTTTTTGTTTTTGTCTCGTTAGGCTGATCTGGATTAATCGAATTTTATATTTTGATTGGCTATTAGTCACATGAATACACCTGGCTTTAGACGGTCCCATATAGGATAACTTTCTTCTGATTGGTCAATCACTTACAATTGTATTTATACAGTTTAAAATACTTTTTAAGAATGTAACATTTCACAAGTAAAAAATAAAAATTGAACCTGTCTCTATCTTCGAAGAAGTGCCAACA